CATCGCTTCAGTGTTTATGAAGGGGGCAATGAGGTCTCATGGGAGTTTCAGGGTAAAGCTAACCCAATCAATGAATCGTTATTAAAGAACAGCATTTTGCTTTTTTTGAATACAAGGTGAAAGTTAAGGTGAGAGCAAGGTGAAAGTTAAATGTATGCCGGATAAAAAACATTTTTTCACCTTTATGTAACGGAAGGAATCATTAAATTATATCCGATTTTATTTAACGGGAATTGAATTTAAAAATAAAAAGATTTTTAACAAAAATATATATTTGTTAAACGTTGATGTTTTCAATCACAATCAATCACAATTCAATTGATCTCAAATATTGTATTGTTTATGCAATACTATTTTGAATCATCGAAATTTTATGCTAACTATTAAACTTTATAATATTAATAATAGTAACTGAGGTAAAATCTCCAATTTTCTATCTATAATAAAATTTCTTATATATACCTTTAATATTAATTTCATATGCATAGTTTTAAATCACGTTTTTCTGCATCGCAATTTAAAATTCCGCAGATCGTGGTAGTTGGTTTGAAATAAATAAAATTGAAGTTTTATTCAATTATATCCATTGCAATATAACTTTCTGAATTATTTATTTATTTATTTATTTTGACGAGCGGAACGAGCAGGAGGGGGGGGGCGAAGCTTCTCAGTTTCTATAAAAGTTTAACGAAAATATATCCATAAAATTTAGATATTCTTCTCTATACATAGCTTTTATAACTTTTCTTCTTCAAATTTTGCATCTAGTTAGTTATTGGTAGATATAATCAAAAATTCTTTGAGCTCAACAGATTTAATTCCAATTTCAGAAAGTAAGTCTTAAATAAAATCTCCAATTTTCTATCCACAATAAAATCGCTCATAAATACCGTTACGTAATTATTAATTCCGTATGCATAGTTTTAAATCACGTTTTTCTGCATCGCAATTTAAAATTCCGCAGTTCGTGGTAGTTCATATGGAAATAAATAAAATGGAAGTTTTATTCAATTACATCCATTGGAATATAACTTTCTGAATTATTTTTTTTTCACAGACGGAGTGTTCTAATTAGCTTCTCCACTCCACAAGTAATAATCATTTCAAACTTATGCTTTAATGGAAATTTATGCTAATCACTGCAAGTAACAAAAACCTTCATACATGCAATTTTATTAAAAAACGGTTTTATTACACTAATGACGCATTATTTTCAAATCATTTTCTACCATCGGTGTTAATAAAGCAATGGCATGTCAAACATTTCCTGGGGGAATGTAATTATTTAATTTCAGTCTTGTAAAAGGGAAAAGAAAAAGAAAATTTTTCCAAATTTTGGGAGCTTAAAATATGGAAATATCTCTGAAAGAAAAGTTTGGACATTTCATTAGAGTTCTTTCAATTGATTGCCTAGATACTAGATTGCGCAAAATAAAAACGGAGCATCTAAATAATTTTTATTCGAATGATCGGATTGATTTACATGTACAAAGATGCATTCTTAATAGTTCAAGGGATTGACTTAAGCTAATTTCAAAAGCGATGAAAGCGTGTAGTTGCTGTTTTTAATGTCACTTGCCACAGACTTTTGATTGGTAAAATTTGTCCATCGTAATTTGCGAACATTTAGCTGAATTCTGCCCTAGAAAGCCATGGATTTACGAAATATAGATTTTTGTGTTCATACGATAGATTAATGAAGAAGTTAACATAAAATTGACGAATTTTACACTATACTGATATTTTGTTTAAAAAAAATTTCGTTACAGAAGGAACTGTAAAATAAACTTTCTATTTGATTTGGGGGGCCCCTCTCTGATATGGGGGCCCGGGGAAACTGCCCAGTATGCCCCTGCCTTAGGCAGGCTCTGAACAAACGCATATTGTTTTGACCTTCACATTTCAGGAGGGAGGTTTAATTTTTGACCCTCAAAATTTGGGAGGCAGTCTCAACCTGGGTCCCAAACTGTCCACCAACATCAGACCCAACAGTTCTTTCTCCCAAACTGACGAAATGGAAAAAAGGATGGGGGTCTAGCAGGTGTGGTAGTCATAAGATTAGAAAAATAATCTTGTCCTTTTGCAAATGGTGAAACAGATGAAGGGAAAGAGTTTGTGAAGGATAAAATTGGAGATTTTTATCTATTTTGGAACACTAAAAAATGTGATATAAAACAACATCAATTGGAGGACCGTTTATTTATTTATTAAAAAAAATCACGTTCTTAAAAAAAAGCGAAATAATAATAATAATATTTTAAGCTAATTCATTCATAATTTTTATTTATGGTGTTTATTTTTTTTAAATAAATATTTAAACTGTTTCTTAACTTTTTTTTCTTTCACTTTTGATTCTAAAGTTGAAACGTAACACAACTTTATATTACTTTAGTAACGTAGAAAATGTTTTTGCTTAGATTAATTATAGTTTAAGAATAAACAAATACATTGATATTTAGTGTGAAAATAAGCAGAATTTTTATTTATTTAATTTTTGTGGATTAAAATAAATACAAAAAAAACTTGCAGTTTAAAGAAAAGAGCTCAAACATAATTTATTACTTCAAAATTCGTATATATATATTTTTTTTGTTGCATACTTTAATATATTATTGTTCTGTACAAAATTATATTTTAACATTGCTTAATAACACAATCAAATGTTAAAATGATGCTTTGTGTTCTAAATTAAAATTTTAAATTCTATTTTGTTGAAAGTGATAATTTTTCAAAACTTTTATAATAATAAAAATTTTCGTAAAAGAGCATGAAATTCAAAAATAGAACTTGAATGTTTATTATGTTCTAATATTTAAATAATGCAAATCCGCAATAATTATTTTATACATTAGTCATTGATTTCTTAAGCACTGTAAAATCAAGGTAATTAAAAGGATTCGGAACATTTATTTTAAGAAAATTGATTTTAAAAAACGTTTTCGAAAATTGTCATAATTTACATTCCACATTTCGTTTAAGTTAAATATGGTACAGAAATTTTATTTATGAATGTTAATAAAACAAATAGTAATTTAAATTTCGATGTCTGCTGGTTTTATTAGCTACGGATAGTATTGCACAAAATTAATTGTATCACAAATCAATTTTTATGAAACTTAAGCAAATATAAATAAACTTGTTTGTTTAAAGTTAAGAAATGCTAAAGTTAAATTAATTAAAATTTTAAGTAGAATTGCTTTCAAAAATGCTCTGTTTGAAAAACAGAACCATATTATTAATGTACTAGTAAAATGGAATAACTTAAGGCATTAAAAGAAAAAAAAAATAATAGAAGATCTGAAATTTTCTACTTCGGCGAAAAAAATAATTGTCTTAATACTTTGAAAATATTGATATTTGATCTATGCAACTAAAAACAATACAGCTTACTAACCAGGCTTTAATGCAAATTCGAAATAGCTTGGAAAAATTTATTAAATTTATTGCACAATAATTCAGGGAAAAGAATCACCACTTCATTTAGAATTTCGCCCCATTGTTGATCGGTTAAGGAAAATGAAAATTATTTTAGCAAAATTATAGTAGAATCTTTCTAAATTAAAAAATCGTAACGTTGTTTTGGGTGTTCAATTTAACCTTACATTTTGTTTAAAAATTATAAGATTTGAAACTACAAAGATGTCTGGACTTGTTAGATGTATGACCCTGCGGGGTTAAAATACGGATAGAGATTTTTCGTGCTTACGACTACCAATGTTCAATTGCGTAGACTTGTAATCGTGAACCCAATCCAGAAGACAAGGGAACTCCTGGATCAAGAATTGGGAGAAATTTTGCTTTCGTGGAGGACTTTTTGATGGAACTAAACCGCATTTGCGTTATATAGAAAGGGAAACCACGAAAACCTTCCATGGTAAGCCTGATGGAAAGGGGCACCAATCTAATGATCTGTCTACCACTGAAGATATTTTACGTTAGCACTGTGGTCGGTGCCAGCCGGATGCGAAATTCGTATCAACCAGCAATCGCTGGGATTCGAACCCGGTCCACCCCATTGGAAGGCGAACGCTCTAACCCCTGAGAAATCACTGCTCAAAATACAAAATTTTATTTCATTTTATAACCGTCGTTGTAAACCCAATTTTTGAGTATACGACTACTAATGTTCAACTCCGTAGTCTTGTAATTTTGAACCTAACCAAAAGACAAGAAAACTCCGGGATCCATACCCCCAGAGGTATGATTTGTTATGGGAACATGAAGGACTTTGCGATTCGACAGATTTAACGTGTATCAGTCACCATTTACTACACGGGGAGTCCTCGGCCGGCAGGGATGAAACCCATGACCTCTTGGACATGGTCCCAGTGACCTACCAACCAGGCTCTCCGGCCCAAAATGCAAAATTTGAACGAAATTGAGGAAATTGTTCTAGAAATAAAAAAAATAATCAAAAGGTCATAATTTTGAATTTTCATTTCTGGGAAGCTAATCGACTGCTTTCGTTTAAATTTTCGATTTTGTCTGTAAATCGTCAAGGATGAAATTCTCAGGTTATCAATTTAAATTACTATATTTATTTTACTTAATATTTTACAGTTTCTTTTTCCTTTGTTGAATATCTCACTTACTTAAAGAAATCATCGTAAATAATATTAAAAAATACATTTTTTAAGTAAAAAATATAATTTTATTGAAAAGAGAATGGTCGGAAATTCGCACATTCGAATTTTACGTAGAACTATGGCTCTGCAATCCCCGCGAAACATATATAGTGCTATTGACTATATTAATTGCTGATTTTACTGTTGATTAAACAAGGACGAACGATAATTACACCTTCTAAGATGTAAACATTCATCGAAAATTGCTGACGGCGCTTGGTGCTCTAATGTAGGTGTGATCCATTATGATTTTTATGAAATCTGGCTCTTAGATCACAATAGAAATATACTGTAACTTGACAAAATGATACAAAATCTTTTTTAAAAAAAAGTCTAGATTAGTCATCAGATCACCTCCTCTCTTTTTGCATGTTATTGCCGAACCGCACATTGCACAAATGGAAAAACTATAGAAATTGGAACTTCTCCGTCATTTTCTATACTCACTAGACCTAATTGGTTTTAATAGTAATGCTTTTAATTGTTTTACAATATTGTTCTCTTGTAATTTTTGCACGTTTATCTTTTAAATTGCTCTTTTAAATTATTCTTTTAATTGACACTTTTAATATATTGCTGTTTTAATGTTTAGCACCTTACATGATTTTAGCTGTTCTACGCCCGCCATGTTCATGGGCTGTTGCCATGTCTGATGTGTATTTTATGTAATTTATGTTTCTACTGTTCTCTGGATATATTTTTTTTTTTTTTTGGATTTTAATAAACATTTACCCGTATGCCCTAAATAAGGGCGGGTCGGGGTAAATTCTTCCATACTCACTAGACCTAGCTCCCACTTCTTTGTAAACTAGAACAACTTTTACATGAGAAAATTATTTTACTCTGCAAACGCTGTAAAATCGTCCTTGACAGGTATTTAATGATTCTCGTCTACGCAATGGTTGGAAGTAGCACGCTACAAGCAACGAAACTACAGTAGTCGCTACTTTTCTCCATAGTTTGTAGCTACTTTTAAAAGAAGTAGTGCAGTGAGTAGTGCGATACAAAAAAAAAAAAAACACCAGTTTGTTGCGATTCATGGCAACTACTTTTAACATTAGTTAAATAAATAAACAAAGTTCAAACAAAACACATTTTTCAAATCTGATGCGAATCCTTCGCGGGCCCGTCAACCTACATGCCTCTGCCGAGAGTTAATAAGACTTACGTCTGATGCTCGGAAAAATCGATGCAAAAAAGATCGAGTTATTCCTGGGAAATCGAATTTTAAATATCTGACTTTTTTAAAATTCGATTTCACAGGAAATGTAAAGTTAGTTTTTGCGACTGATGTCGTAACTTAAAATATCGTCTGCATTAATTAATTAGTATTTTTCCAGTCACCTCCTCAAACCATTAAGTCCTAGAGAGTGAAGATCCGATCATTAGATCAAAAGTTATTCAGGGTGGTCCGTGTTTTGTTTTTCGCACTGTTCTTTGTTTCTTGGAGGATATAAAAAAACATTGATTACTTAAATCACAAATATTTGATAATTCCCAAGCATTTCTTTAATCGCTGTCGTTGAGTTTGAAAGTTTAAAGAACACATTCGTAAAAAGTGCTTTAGAATGAAACACTATTTCATGTAAACATGAATTAAAACTTCTTAATATCTCCTTACATTTAACGAAGCCAATTTTTTATTCAAAATCATTTCGAATATTGGTGAAAATTAAGTTCTCCAGTTAAATTAGTCTTCTAAAAGCAGCGAAGTAGTGACTACATTTCGAATGTAGTTTAAAGTCGCTACATTTAAAAAAAGTAGTTGTGATTGTAGTTAGCTACAATTGTAATAAAGTAGTTGTAGTTGACTACAAAGAAAATGTAGTTTTACCGACCACTGATTTACCCCACTTGGTTGCATGGCATGCTGCAAAAGGTGTAGAGGAAATATGGGTGTATCGTTTGATGACTGAAATAGTTCCTAATACACATCAACTAACTTAGTCTTTTTATTCTACTAAATTCCCAATAAACGATCTAATATTTAAAATTCCATTTTTCGAATTATTTAAAGAATAAAATTAAATAAAATTTGTTAGTGCCTTTAAATTATGGAAAAACTGATGCAAATACAGACCTTATCTGTTTGAAATTAAATGAAAAATTAGTGTTGAAGATGAACAAAAGAAACGTTTCAATATGCATTTTTTATATCTGACACATTTTATTATTGTTTGGAGAGAAAAAATTCTGATACCTCGTGATAAATTAAGTACTTTTTGATACTTAAAGCGCTTTTAAAGACCTAATTCTTAACTCATTAGCATGACTTAAACATAAACGATCACCCGCTTTAAAACATCAAAATAATCTCAACAATAGTTTTTTTTTCTCTTCTGAAAAAATAAGTAGTTGACGTTATAATGAATTTCCCGTAGAACTTCGAACGTTTTCATGGTGGCTTAATCCTATAAAAACTGGCGGCCAACCTCAATCTTTTCTAAGTCATGAATAATAAAACAGAAATTGCATTTTGAAGTGTGTCTTCTTTCTTCCTCTCTGCATCGGGAATTTGTCGAACGTAAGTTAAGGCTTAAAAAAGTGGTAGTTCTTTTTCTACCCTTGCCTAGGATGGCATGTTTTCTTCGGAAAATAAAAACCAATTTCACTCTGACTGTATATATATATATATATATATATATATATATATATATATTTATGT